AAGGCATCACCAAACAAATCCATTGTTAAGGGTGCTCCACCTTATCGAGCACTAATCGAGAGGCACCAAAAGTCAACTCAAAGTCAACCCTAAAATGATCAAACATGAACCAAATATACTCTCAATGACCCTTCAATCCGCCCTCTACATGGAGAAAAGGTCTTGATCATAGGGGATTTGAATTGGAGGTTCAAAGGTGTTGGATCAATGCTAGGGTGAACCATAAAACACAACACATTGCAAAATTAAAATAAAATTGCAAAACGAAATAAAATCAGAAAATAAAAATATGGTTAAATAATGTCTTGAAATAACTAAAAATATCTTTTGGGCAATTTTCTGATCATCAAAAGTATTTTTAATAAATCAAAATGAAAACAGAAACAAAAATAAAATAAAATAAATGAACAACCAAGGTGGGGTGTAAAAGTAATTTGGAAATGAGTTGGAATCAGTTCAAATGCGTGCTGGGCCAGCAGAAGAGGGTGTGTGGATAGCAATTTGAATCAAGCCCAACCCAGACTTAGGCACACTTAGATGCCACGCTGGAGGCTCATTAAATGAGGTGGCAATGAGTCACACACACAGGCAAACCAAAACACGACAACTCAAAATTTTTGAATTCAAATAAGGGCGCCAAGGCCACCTCAGCCTGTCTTCCACCCCCAGACGCTGGAACCCTAGTTCCGGTCGTCTTCTCCGACCAAGCTTCGTCGAAGTAAATTAAAAAATGCCCAGAAATGAAAAGCAAAGGCACCCTTCGACCCAGAATTTCATGTAGGTTTCAAATCCATCCTCAAAAATAAAAAATACACACATTTACATGGTGAATCGAAAGCAACAAGTTTGGACACTCAAACTGAAAATCCATCAAACTCAAATAATATGATGTGCAAACATTGCCTCCCTTAGGGAGGACTTCAGATGCGTCCAGCATGACCCTAACATGTGTCTAAAATGGAAGGAAAAAGTTCAGAGAGTTACCTAGTGGAGTATGTCCACTGTTGCTTCAAAGCTTGTTGTAAAGGCACCAAAAGCCACAAAATGCTTCCTTGGAGCTTATAGAACCTTGAGGAAAGCTTGGAAATCCTTGAATCTTCCATAAATTAGCAACCAAGTTTGAACAGGTCATGAGTCCAGTGCTTGCAGCAAGCTTCTAATGCATACAGAAAGTAGAGAATGTTGTGAGGAAGATGATTTGAGGTGAGTTTTAATGGAAAGACCAGGATAAAATGAGTTTCGAAGAAAAGTTCAGAGGAGAAAAAAATGAGAGAAATGTTCTGATCTTCTTCACAATGGTGGCTGCCTTTGCTAGGGTTTCACTTTTTGGCTTTTATATGAGGCTTTTTGTGTGGTTAAAATGATTAATTACTGAGGTTAATACAACTGGTAACAACTGGTGCAAATGAGAGAAATGAGATGGATGGTGGATCCTGCATGGGGTACGAATCATGGCATTATGATATGCATTTTTTGCTGAGTGGAAAAAGGATCAAATGGAGTGTATAATGGTCAGGTTGGTGGCTGCTTGCTCCTTTCCTTCTTTGGCCAAGATTTTCCAAAATGACACCAAATGGCACATGCTTTGTTGGTCCTATTTTGGCAACATTTTGGGGTATGGAAGGAGGCCTCATGCGCATGATGTTGATGACAAAGTAATACTGCAAGGCTAGGTTGAGAAACATGCCAAAATCATTCATGAATCATGCCTTGAAATATCTTCCAAATCACCTACTTTGAACCACCATAGCTTGATGAATTTGACTCCTCTTGATTGGAAATTGGACTCAAATGAAAGCTAGCATGATGGGGAATAACTTTGATGTTGAAGAAATCTTGATTTGTAACTTAGAAAGTCATGAAAATTAAGCTTGAATATCATGTCATGAAATCTGCCTTGAAATAACTTAGAAAAAAATTCTAAGTTATAAGTTTTGACATAAATGAAATCCCAACTTTGAATTCACATAACTTGAGCTTCATTAATCTCATGAGCAACTTCTAGTAATGGATGAAAAGCTTGGAACATGATCTATAACTCTCATGTGAGACAAAATTTCATTTGGTATCAAGAACTTGATGAAAATTACCTTGGAAACTTGTTTCAAAAATCTACCCAAACTTGCTAAATTTGATGTCTTTGAAAACCCTAACTTTTGAACATCATAACTTGAGCTTCATTAATCTCATGATGATGAATTAGTAGTCAAAAGAAAGCTCAGAAGACAAGGAATAACTTTGATATTGGCCAAAAACCCATTTGGACACTTGATCATGAAGGAAAGTAGCTTTGAAGATGGCTTATTCAACCATGAAACTTTCTATAAATGGAAAGTTTCTAAAACCCTAATTTTCCAAAAATGGCAAGTTTCAAACTTCTTGATTTATTTGTGATCCCTTTGACATTCCTTGGTTAATTTTCACCCACTGGCCATGTTAAACATGAGGAACATGATCTTGACCTCAAAAAAGTCAGGAGTTGACTTTTTCCTATGCACAGTTGACTTTTCCCCAAACTTACCTTATTTACAATTGACTGACCAATTAAAGCTCTTCTGATTGAAATTGATGATCAAACTTCTACCTCTAAACACCTTAGGACACATGGAGGAACATGGAATCAAGTCTTGCTCCAAGAAATAAGTCCAGGCTGATTATATGTGAAACCCTAGTTTCATGTCCTTTTGTCCATGCCATTTGCAGCTGAATTGAATGACTGCACATGCTCCACAAAGACCCCTCAAGGTATACAATGGGCTTGTAGACCATGTATTCTCCAAAATAAAGACCTCATGATCCCCTGTTAACCCTCTGATGATCCTCAAGATAGGAGGTAACGTACACATCAATCTCTCTCCTCTAAGAGCTTTGAACCTTCCATGATGATGATAAACACTTGATAACCTTGCAAGAATGCCTTTGCTTGAGCTTGAAACCAAAGAGACCCTCCTCTTGAATGGCACAACAAACCTCTTGATCCCTTGTCAAGGACAATTCTATGCAAATGCAAATGCTAAAATGAAAAGAAACATAAGCCAAGTACAAGAAATGGTTGGTCAAATTTTGGGGTATAACACCTGCGATCAATTTCTCCGGTGGCAGCTCCGGGGATGAGGGTTTTGCCACAACCTAGAACGATGATGAGGGAATCTTTCTAGACGTCATTACGGTGGGAGGCCATGACGATGAAAGTCCAGAGAGGTGGCTTTGGTCTTTTGTTTGAGAAGATTGAGAAATCTTAGTTCAAAAAGACGGGGGAGCCAGTATTCCCACAGACGGCGCCACTGATCTAGAGTGATCAAAATGGATCGTCTTGGTCTTCAATGTAGGGCATCAATAATGGTAGTAGGAGATGAGGGGGTTGTACCTGTAAGGTACTTCAATACCAAAGTAAGTGTTTGGGCTAGAGAGAAAGCAAACACGAGTGTATAAGTATGAGTAAGAATGATTAGAATACCTTACCCTCTTAAGAGAGAGGGTATTTATAAGTTTTCCTCCAGCACGGGGCCAAGGTCTCCCATGTAACCGAAATATCTAGTCGGCCAATGGGGGACTGCCAGGTGGAAGATCTAGCGCGTGATCTTTGACCTGCTCCAACTGTCTCCGTGATTTTCAGAGGGGCAGTTGGTCACGTGAACCGTCAAGCGCATGAGGGGCATGTTCCCAACGACTATGTGCTCCAACGACTATATTGTGTCCAACGGCTATATTGTGCCCAATGACTATATTGTGCCCTATGTTCGTATTGGGTCTGACCTTAAGCTAGATTAGATTGAGCCTTGCTCAGCTGTGGGGCAGGTGTCAGTCCAGTCCAGAACAGGTATGGTATAAGGGATATAAGCCAATAACATATATGACTTATAGAGATTTGTTTATAGTATTATTCTTGATTTATATATCGATAGAAGTCATAAAGTTATGAATATATCTGACATAACAAATCAATAACGATTCATTATATGGAGCTTCCAAGCTTCAATACTAACATGAACTTGTTATGGATGTCTTGTTTAATATATTTTGGCAAGACAGAGTATTTATGAAGAAAAATGAGCTTGTAAATTTCTTGACAGACTCACGTGAGGGGAGATCGACACTTAATGTGTGTTTGGATTAACGGTTGAAAGAATTGATTTTAAGAGAATTGAGCTTAGTAGAATTGATTTTAATATAATTAAGTTGAATATAATTGATTTATGTTTGAATACATTTATGTAAAAGTGAGTTGAACAACAAAATTCAATATAAAAAATCACGTTTAAACTTAGAAGCTACAAATGCTAACTTTAAGTATAATCAATTATACTTTAGAAGAACCAAACACCCCAAAATTATTCTAGAAACAAATTTACATCTCTAGAATTGCTTTTGGCTCTTTCAACAACCAAACCAACCACGCTATTAGGCCATTAGATGTTTTGGTGTACGAGTGAGTAGAAGGGAAACATGCATGTGCAGACTTGATTGAGGTTTTTCCACTAGTCAGACTAAGGACCGAAGATTTTACTATGGAACAAACAATCCTCAAAGCCGCTTCAAATAAAGTGGTTAAATATGAAAAAATGTGTTTCGCCAATCAACATTTTTTCATATAATTTTTCTTTGACACTTTTGATTTTCTATCACTAGAAATAGTGAATCTTTTAAAAAAAAAAAAAAAAAAAGTCCTAAGACTCATTTAGTTTCTCCCATTGAAAGTCCACTAGTTAACCTATTGTAGCACAAATAAGACGCACCAGCCGTCAGCTAAGAAACTCCTAAAACATACTAGTACGTATAAACATAAGTATAAAACCACTAATAACAAGAACAATTTCGGAATGTTCCACTTACCTCCTCTCCTCTCGTCATCCATTTTTTTGGCAGACATTAGAACAAAAAGCATAATTCTCCAACTCCCACACTAGTTAACTCCCACTTCCACCCTTAACACGCACACAATCAATCTACTTTCATTTTCTCTCTCCCAATTCTTCTCCGTTCGAGGGAAAAAACCCGACATGGCTTTCGGGTTCGGGTCATCCGACGATGTATCCGGTTTCAAATTCCTCTTCCTCATGGCGCTCATCTACGGTCTCATCTCGATGCTTACGTATTCCGTTATCCACATGAAGTTCGTTAATCCTCTCCTTGTCGACGCCCCTCTCGATCGGTTTTCTGAAGCCAGAGCCGTCGAACATGTCAGAATGTTGTCTCAAGAGATCGATGGCCGCCATGTGAGTCTTCTGTAAATCACAACATAATCTATCTCTCATATTTCTCATTTAACCTTGACGGATTTTTCGTAGTGATGACTGTTTTTTTAGTGTTTTATATGATATGAATTGTTTTTTGCAATAGGTCAAAACTCAAAACAATGTAGGATTGTAGGACAACAGAAACCCGACCCTGACACTAACACGCCGATAATAGTAATAATTTAAAAAATAAATAAGTTAATTGTAATCACAAATGTTGACATCGATTTCGGACACTCACATATACACATTTTTTTCAGAGGCGTCGATGATAGATAGATGTTGACTTGTATTATTAATATTAATTATTTATAGGAAGGGCGACCTGGTTTGAAAAAAGCTGCTCTATACATTAAGAGTGAGTTGGAATTAATAAAGGACAGAGCTACCTCTAATGTCAGGTTTGTTACTTTAATTTTTTTAAAGTAATGTTTAGATTTTGCTTTTTCCCATTTTTTAAAATTTAATTTTGTTTATTATTATTTGTCTGGTTGATTTAATTTGCAGCCATTTTTTTGATGCAGAATTGAGATTGAAGAGAGCACTGTCAGTGGATCCTTCAATATGAACTTTTTGCGTCACCATATAGCATTGGGATACAGAAACCATACTAATATTCTTATGAGGTATATTTGTAGTGGTGAATTGTTATTTCTAGGATTCGATTTTGTGCTTATCTGGTATATTTTACTGTAGGATATCATCTATAGACTCCAAAGATACTGATCCTTCGGTTTTAGTGAATGCACATTTTGATAGTCCGCTTGGTTCCCCTGGTGCTGGTGATTGTGGTTCATGTGTTGGTTGGTAGCGACTATATTTGAAGTCTTTGTCGTATTTGAAAGATTATATTCAGCGAAGATATACCTTGGTCATACTAAGTCTTATTTTATTTTTTCTTCTGTCTCAGCGTCAATGCTGGAAATTGCAAGACTAATCGTGGACTCTGGTTCGGCTCTGCGCCGCCCTGTTATTTTCCTTTTTAACGGTGCGGAGGAACTTTTTATGTTGGTAGGATATCTTATCCGTAAATGTTTTGAGTTGAAATTACATATATGACTTTTGAATTAAAACTTCGGCCGGAAGAAATGACGATATTGTGATCAGAAAATTTAAATGTACTAGGATCTTTGCTAATGAGGTGTTATTTACTTCTGAATCCTTGATGCTTAAGGGTTCACATGGGTTCATGAAGACAAATAAGTGGCGCGACACAATAGGAGCTTTTATAAACGTCGAGGCATCTGGGACTGGAGGGCCGGGTAAACATGATGTTAAATTTCTGTTATGAATAGTAGTAAAATATCATAAGCTACATCGCTGAATAATGTTGTTAATTAACAGATTTAGTATGTCAATCTGGACCGAGTTCTTGGCCTTCTAATATCTACGCCGAAGCAGCAATGTACCCTATGGCTACTAGTGCAGCTCAGGTTTTGTCTTTATACCTGTTTAGTACTCGATCGTTTTGTGTAGAAATTATTTTCCGTATAAGTATATACCAATACAAATCTGAATTTTCTGTTATAATATGCAGGATGTTTTTCCTATTATTCCTGGAGATACAGATTATAGGATATTTTCTGAAGATTATGGCGATATTCCCGGGCTTGACATTATCTTCCTCCTTGGTGGTTATTTTTATCATACCTCCTATGATACATTGGAACAATTCTTGTATGTACCTTACCTACTTTAGTTAGTTCGGATATTTTATTTTAATTTTATATTGCTTATGCAATGGTTTCAAATTTCAATCACTCTCTAGACATAATTTTTATCGCACTAGGTTGCCATTTTTAAAGTTTTTTTTTCCCTCAGACATGTATTTGATCATTTTGATGTGTTTCTATGTCTCCAGACCTGGAAGCATCCAAGCACGCGGAGAAAATTTGTTCCGTATAATCAAGGCTTTTACTAATTCTTCCAAGCTACAAAACAAATATCAAACAAATTATAGTGAAGTTAGAGCTAGCTTATTCAACGAAGAGCGGGCTGTATTCTTTGATTATCTCTCATGGTTTATGGTATGCAGTGAAGTTTGTAAATCCAATGTTTGTTCATGATGCACCAATACTTATAACAATATAACTTTTAAAAACGGTTCATTTCGCGCTTTTGTTTTCTTATATTTTATATCGTCAATTTTCAGATATTTTATTCCAAAAGGGTTGCTAAAGTTCTTCACAGCATTCCTATCTTCTTATTCCTTGTAATGTCTTTTTCGCGTGGTCAGCCTCATTCTTGGTTCGCAACTTTGTGTGATTTTGTGAAAGGTAAATCAGTAAATGGTTACTTCTTTATAAGACGAGTTCTAATTGGCCTCCTTGTTGATCACTTTAATTGTATGTTTGACATTTTGAAATTTATTGGATTTGCAGGATTTGTGTTCCATGCATTTGGGATGATATTGGCAGTTGTTGTGCCTGTTGCGTTTTCTTTGCTGAGATTACTGTTCTCGTCTCAAACAATGAATTGGTAACTTCATTTAAATCAGTTTCTAAGGTGTAACAGCTGAAATCCCTTAATGTATGTTTTTCGGTTCTTGTGAAACACACAGGTTTGCTCATCCATTCTTGGCATTCATGATGTTTATACCTTGCGGACTTGTTGGTCTTATTATTCCAAGAATACTCTGGAGAAGCTTTCCTCTTTCTCAAGATGCTGTAATTGTCAAGAGATCAAAAGAGGTATTCGAGTACATTAAAACATGTTTTTATTGGTTCCATTAATCATTGTGTGAAATATTTTGTCGGAGAGAGAGGTTTCTAAGTCCAAGCCGCATAACTTTTAATTTGACACATAAATTTCAGGCACTATCTGATGAAGCAAGGTTTTGGGGAGCATTTGGGTTCTATGCCGTATTAACTTTGGTGCGCAGATTTAATATGTAGTCAGATAGTTCGATCTTTTTGCAGCACGACGTGATGTATTATTCACTTGTTTTTCGTTTTTTGGCTAACAAATTTAGTAAACATCAGGCTTATCTTACAGCTGGGCTGAGCGGAGGTTTCGTGACTTTTTTTGCATCTGCTTCTATGCTTCCTTCATGGATATCCTTCTGCTTATCAGTCAAATCATTCGGACGACGTTCATTCAGGTTGATCATTAATAACCATCTAATTTTCAATTCTATGTTTTTTTATTTTTGCATAAACAAATTTTCATGTCTTCATCTTCGGTCTTTCGAGCATCCTTTGCATATTACAATATATCCGACTTGTGCCTTACTGCATTTATATGCATGCTATTTATCTAATTTTTCGTGCGGAATCTGTCATTCTAATTTTGCAATAACTTTTCCGTTCACTTCATTTTTTTTCACTTTCTAGGTCAACAATGTTTTACATATTGCCTCTAGTTCCATGCCTTGCATACGCCGTTTATTTTGGCGGCTTTCTTGCTCAGTTTTTGATAGAGAAGATGGGCATGATGGGTTCTCTTCCTCTACCATATGGTTAGTTTTTGATACAAATATGCTGATAAATATTTAAGTAATGAAATGTCAAAATGCTCGGTACTGAACATAACTCATTGCAGGGCACTATGTTCCCGATATTATCGTGGCTGCAGTAATTGGACTCGTAACTGGTTGGTCTGTTGGCCCTCTAATACCCATCTGTGGTCATTGGTTAGCAAGGTCATCAATTGTGCGATTTCTGTTGCATCTCAGCGTGCTTGCTTTGGCGTTATCATCTCAGTTCTTTCCTTACTCCATGTCTGCTCCTAAGAGAATTGTTTTTCAGCATACTTTCCGAACTGCAGGTATTTTCCATCATCATTTTAGTACTCAAATCAAATCTCCTATTTTTTATTTTCTGCTTTCAAATTTCTTACAAATTTCGTGTGATTTGGCAGGCTCGAGTCAGATAACGGAATCCACTTATGATTTTTCTGTACTAGATTCTAATTCTTTACTATTCATATTCAAACACTCGCCTGAAGCAGCTGAGATATTGAATGTTACTTCAAAGTTTTCATTTGAATCCGCATCACGGTCTAACCGCCATGATTGGATGGTAAGTTTAGTGCCATTATTATATGAATATAGTGGTTTATAATTTATGCTCATGTGAATTCTAGAAATTATTGCGAAGGAATTTCTCTTTTGCAGGTACTTTTTCCAGTTTCTTCTCTCTTTTCAAATAGTCTGAAATTCCCCGCAAACGATGATGATATTTTGAAGCAGTATCAATTCTTTCCCACATTGTTTGTTCAAAATACATCTTCAAATTCTGAAAAGGGACATAGAAGAGTTCACTTGGATCTTTATTTAGGGTGAGTGGATAACGGCGATTTCGTCGAGCATTGTAAAAAACACAATTTTTTTAGCTTTGTTTTCATGCATGCATAACTTGATTTATATTCCTTTCAGTTCGTTAGAAGAAATCTGGGTTACCGTTCTTAACATCACTGGTCCATTATCCAGTTGGTCATTTGCAGATAATGTGCTTCCAGGTACAAAACCCGTATCATCGATTTTTCTTAGGTTGATAACATTTTTCTCATTGCAATTTTGTTTGCATATGCACAGGAACCGAAGCGTATGGCGGAGGTCCACCATCATATATACTGCGTCTTAGCGGGCCAAGCGACAGGAACTGGTCTTTCTGGTTAGAGGTAAAGTTTTTAATGCTGCATTAAATATCTTCTTTTTTCACAATAAAAGCTGAATTTCTGTATTTGGTTTATAACATCAGGCTAACAGTTCTGAAGCATTGAGAGTGGAAGTTTCAGTTTTGGACCAAAAGTTGGTTGATCCTGCAAAGAGATTAAAGAGTGTTTTCCCAAAATGGGTTGATGTAGTTGCTTATTCTAGTTTCATTTCTAGCTATACCTTTTAATAATGATTAAATTTGTATAGGATAGTGATAGCCATAGGAATTGTTAGAATAATTTATTAATTTAGTTTATATATTTATTCGATGTTACGGAATATCGTAATTATCGACCGAGTTCTGATATTTACAATGCACCAAATTTTAACAGGAAAAAAGAACTATGGGGTTTGGATTCTTTCAATTTGTCAAAAGAAATGGAAACAGTTAGAAAATTGTGCACAGTAAGTGTAACAATTTTCTTTTTTGAAATCAATATTTGAAACTCATTCATTCAGAAAGAACACCAGTCAAGGTTACTGGTCTAAGCAATAAGGACATATTTTCCTTGGTTGGTGAATGTTTCTGTCTCACTTTTGTTTGAGATTTCTCTTGTGTTTGGTCTCTTGTGTTTGTTGTGTTCTTAGGATGGTGCAAAGTGTTCTATCTTTTTAAGACTTAAACAAAAGTATGTTGAAAAAATGCTTCAAGAGACGTGAAAATCTTGCAAATTACCAAATGGTTAAAGGTGACAGAAAGAGATAAGGTTAGCTGAAAGAATAGATGCGTCCAGAAAGTTTGACTATTGAAAGCAATATTGTATAGATTAAACATTTATATAAAAAATATTTTCCCTCCATCTTAAATTATATATTTTGCAAAATGAACTTATTATAAGGGTTAATATCATTTTGACGACTTGTAAAAAATTGAGATTTCTAACTTTGACATTTAAAGATTATATTGTTTTAGACCTTTCAATAATTTTACCAAAAATGGCTTTGTGACACGATGACTATAATTCATTTATTTTTTAAAAAAAATCTTTCCACTTGAACCAATTAATGTCATCACATTTATCATTTAATTATTGTCTAATACAAATGACATGGTTCATTTTCCTCCTCTACCATCTCCGTAAGAATTCTAAAACTTTTGAATTGATTCTGTTTTGTATTGGGCCAAGACCTGTTTAACAGTTGAGCAGATTCAACCTAATACTACGTTGGAGAGGTCTAATAAAGTTCAATCCTTCTTTATATCGGACACACTTAATTTTGTAGTCGGGCAAACCACTACCTAGCACGGGGAGGGTTCACGCGTCTTCTCCACGTTCTCCACGTGTTTCTCACGCGGAAACACGTTATCAGACAACTACCCACTTTCGAAAAAACTGGTCAGTCCACCTTCCGAAGATCACAAAGTAGTTGATCCAGGGCGAATACCACATGCTGGTCTTCCCTGCGCCACGTAAGCTCTGACAATCACTCGTATTGGGTCTTTCAATCCAGCCTAATGCAAAGTAACTATTGGTCCTGCGCTGAGGGCACATTATAAATACCCTCTTTTACTAGAGGGTCAGGTATTCTATTCTCCACACCTATTCTCTCTGCACTTGCTCTTTCTAATTTCGTTACTCACTTAGGCATCGGAGTACCTTGCAGGTACACCCCCTTCTCCTCTTCAACACCGGTGAATATAGAAGCTCACGACGCGTGGCAGACTGTTGATTCCTTTCTGATCAAGTAAGATCAATGGTGTCGTCAGTGGGAATCCTTTGCTCTCCCGTTCTTTCTCCTATAGAAGCATAGAAGCTTAAGAACCAAAGAAACATTCAACTTCTGTTTGATCATGGCCAGCCCACGCAATGACAATGCTCTGAAAACTACATTCATTCCATTCACCAACGGTGATGGCCATGATCCTAATGTGGTCGATCGTTCACGTCGAGGAGGGCGACTCCAGGGACGGGCACATCGCCTCTCCCTCCTCAGAAGACGCAGCCAATCCCGGTGCCACCCAGCGTCGACCCTACCAAGGTGGCTCTATTTGCGGCGATCAACCAGACCAATCTGATGATCTTTCAACAGAATGAGTGGATAAGGATGCTCGAGAAGGAGCGACAATCACGCTCTCCCTCATGGAGACATCATCGCCCTGTTTCCAACAGCCCCTCTCCTCCCCCGTAGACGCAACACGACTACTCTCGAAACCCTTCTCCCCGACAGACTAGACGTCACCCTCGCTTGGAGCGGCCTCAGCCAATGGCCTCCCAAAAGCGTGACCGATCACCTCCCGGGAAGGAGCGACGCTCCCCCACTCAGAAGAGGAACAAAGCTGAAGGAGGCGTTGAGAAGCAAAAGAGTCGGCCGATGAGTCTTTCTCGACGAAACAGAAATAATCAGGGTGACCTTTCCCCTTCTCGGTCACCTATCAGGAGCGACGAGGACGATCGATGCTCACTGTAACACCCCCTTTCTATACCCCCAAATAATCACATAATCAATTACCACATATTAAAAATTTCATTAGAGTGTAATTATAAACATAGTATAAAAGAGGCGCGTCACATTACGCTTGAAATTAAAACATACATCACCTGCTCAACAAAAGATACGCAACAGTGGGGTAACTATGCAACATAGGAACTTAGTCCTTACACCCACATCTCAATATTTAGAATAAAAGCGGAAAATCTAAACATTGATAACATCAAACATATATACATACATATATCATCCAGTATGATTCAACAACAAAGTCATGTTTACATAAACATCCCACAACAAGATACATATACAAATGTATCACAAAAGAATCATAAACATCCTAGCTACCCGGTGCTACATATCAGAGCCGACCGACCAAAAGAATGAAGACACGCTTCACAAAAAGACCTCCAGCAAACCTACTCTGCAATGCCTCATAGAACACCATAAAACAGCAGAAGGGTGAGAAATATTATCATAATAACAATGCATATAATTATATATCTTAGCATATAAATACACATATTCTGCATTCTCACCACAATTCATCACAACTCACTCATATACATCACAATGTGTGTATATATATATATATATATATATATATATATATATATATATATATATATATATATATATATATATATATATATATATATATATATATATATATATATATATATATATATATATATATATATATATATATATATATATATATATATATATATATATATATATATATATATATATATATATATATATATATACATATATGTATATATATATATATATATATATATATATATATATATATATATATATATGTATATATATATATATATATACATATATATATATATATATACATATATATATATATATATATATATATATATATATATATATATATATATATATATATATATATATATATGTACATATATATATATATATATATATATATATATATATGTATATATATATATATATATATATATATATATATATATATGTATATATACATGTATATATATATACATGTATATATATATATATATATATATATATATATATATATATATATATATATATATATATATATATATATATATATATATATATATATATATATATATATATATATGTACATATATATATATATATATATATATATATATATATATATGTATATATATATATATATATATATATATATATATATATATATGTATATATACATGTATATATATATACATGTATATATATATATATATATATATATATATATATATATATATATATATATATATATATATATATATATATATATATATATATATATATATATATATATATATATATATATATATATATATATATATATATATATATATATATATATATATATATATATATATATATATACACACATACATAAAACCAAGCATATTCATCATGCATACTTTCACAATTCTCATCATTCCACATAAACATACACATTTATGTTTATTCACCAATGCACAATTATAAAGATGATAAATGCAAATCGTAGAGACCGACTCACGACTCTATGCAAATGCAATGCGGTACCGACTAAATCATCACAAGTTCACTCAGGAACTTATTGGAACCATCGCTCACACCTTACATAAGCACACGATGTTCACCCATTGCTCACACCTCACATAGGCAGACAATGTTTATGGATTGCTGACATCTCACATAGGCACACAATCCGATTGCTCACACCTCACATAGACACACAATCATTTGTAATCATCGCTCACACCTCACATAGGCACACGATGTTACAGCGGATTCTCATTAGAATCCCACAACACAAGAATGCACATCATTATGCTTCACATGCAAAATGACTCAAAACACTCTTGAAATGCATACATATTCACAATATATATTCATGCATTCATCTCATTCTATCACATACAATCCATATACGTTCGCATTCAATTACGCCAAACGGCAATAAACTCTATCACAATTATCATGCATTTACATTTAATTTAAGAAATGCATTCATTTGCCAAAAGGCCACAATTCACAATAAATTCCACAATCTAGGATTCACGCCATACGGCTACCCACAACATACCATATAACAACACACAAGTTACACATTCAGGATAAGGTTGATCAACATTCGAGTCGAAGAATCGACGTTGGATAAAAGAAAAATAAAATGTTGTACTGTCATGCTCGCTAGCATGCTTGCTAGGCAAGCAGAATGACAAGTCCTTCGCTGCTTCACTCGCTCCAGCGAGTTTGAGTCTTTTTGGTTCTGTCCAAGTCTGGGAGTGTTCGCTGGTAGCTCGCTGCATGCTCGCCTAGCGAACACCTCGCTACCTCACTCGCCAGTGATTCGCCTAGCGAACGCGTCGCTACTCAAACCCTCAATTATCCAAAAATGTCAAAAAGTCACAAAATCACCTGATTTCAATCAAACAAGTTCCAACTATCTTGGCCTAACACTCCTCGACTAAACTACGCAAGTTATTTCGAATTCTAACCGTAAAAACATTGGTTTCTATCGATTTTACCAATTTCGACCTAAAATGGAAAATATGGAAAAACAACCAAAACAATCCAACAAACACATACATAATGATATACATTGATGAGATAATAAGATTTCACACCCTTACCCAATTAAATCGATTTCTAGAAGTTGTTTTGAAGAATTCCAAACTTTTCCTCTTTTTCTTTTCTTTTCCCTTCTTCCTCTTTCTTTCTCTC